AGGACCAAGTTTGTGATCGAAACGCTATTCCTACGGTCTCTCTTTTATCAAGTACACCTAATCGTCTTGATCGACGCGACGAGACGGCGCGAGTCTCGCGATCGCGTCTCGTTACCAAGAGAGAGAGAGAGAAAGAGAGAGAGAGAGAGAAGTCCTGGAACTCGCTTTAGTTTTCCTCGTTACACTCAATTCGTTCGTTAGAGTTGGACGGTCATCGCGCGGTCGCTTCGTTGCGATATCGAGGCACGGCCGCACGGGCGCGGCGAGAGATCTGTAAGGAGAAAACCTTTAACCGGACTCGCTCGTCTGGCCCGACCATTATAGGGTCCATCCATTACGATGAAAATGGAACGCCACGGCCTCGGGCCGGCTTGCGTCGCGTCGCGTTGCGTCGCGTCGCGTCGCGACGTCACGGAACGGAGCGAAAAATAATCGTCCCGATCGTGAGAAACGGATTTTGTATTCCAACGGAGCTCGTTGCACCGGTTCTTCTCGCATTTCGCTTTTATTACTCGCGTTCGGTCTTTTTCGTCGATGGATAAACATCGTCTCGCTACGCTAGTATATATATATATATATATATATCTTCCTTTTAACCACGCTCTGTACGTCCTTCGAGAAAATATGTTAACAGAAAATTATCAATAATATATCTTATAATGATTTCATTATTTATAAATTAAAAGGAAAATTATTAAGTGTTCGCCAAACATAATCCCCTTGCTGAGGGTCGTTTTATTTTTCTTAATATTTATTCGAGCATTTTTAACGTGCAAATAATGCGTTCGCGATACGATGAATATATCCATATGCGTGGGTCATTTGAAAAGTTCTCGGAATGAATTACAGATGTCTATCGCATACAGACGTCATACGTTAAAATGGAAAATCCCACCCCTCCATGAATACGTATACAAAATTGGAATACGTTCCAGCAAAGAGATGCATTTTTTTTAAATAAATCTTCGAACGAACGTATCTGCGCAATTAAAAATAAATTAATCAACTCGAAGTTTTCCGCGCTGTGATTAAGTATTCGAGTTAAGATACGATTTGTTGTCGCATCCTCCTTATTATTCGCCTTAGCTCAACTGGACTTTCACCTATTCCCATGGCTGAAGAAATTCCTTATTATCACAATACTATAAAAATTCTCCAGATTTTCAATTTTTTTTACATCATTTGAGAAATCGAAATTGTTTAAAAGCCCGTGTCCACGGTGCTAGAACTTGGGCCAAGCATCGCGGACACGGGCTTTAATGGACCAACGATCTTTCAGGATCATAAGGCACGTCGATATAAAGGGAGATATATGCGAAGTGAAGACAGTTAGGGCCCGAGCAGAAAGATTGTCGTAAGTGTTTACGATTCCGTGGTAAGTCGATGTCGGAAGTCAGCGCACCAAGAATTGTCGTAGACGTATGTCGCATTCATCGCATCGCGAGGCGACATACGTCTACGGCAATTCTTCGTGCGTTAACTTCCGACACCGACTTAAGTCTCGCGACAAAATCGTAAACGGTTACGACAATCTTTGTCAGGTCCTTATCCGGCGAGAAGTGATTCGTCGAACGATATTGAAGCGATATCGATATCTTCAAATTGACGTCAAATCGACGTCGATTGTGTACGAAAGATTGAGAGTTGTGTGACTTTTCATTTAACTCCGAGAATTTTTTTAAATGGCCCTCGTACACGTATCATCCCAAATTACGTCACACGAGGAGGGACTAATGAGGAGCGGCGCGAAGCGGATCGCCGATCCGTTCTGCGAAAAACGATCCGCTTCCGCGCGGCGACGTCGTCGCTCTTCGGGCGGGTTTCGCGCGAAGGCGTAAAATGGTGGATCGTAATGGGGCCGCTCCCTCTGCTTCTTTCAGAACGGCGAGGTCAGGTGCGACCGGAAACGCTGTCCACGGTCGCTCTGCAACTCGATCGCGCATCAGATGAAGCGCGGCGAGTACGTGGCGGACGCCGACGACTGCTGCACGGCGCAGTGCGAGCACCGCGCGAGGCGTCACCACCGCAACAACCATCATCCGGCGCGACGGCACTCCGTGACGCCGCGGGAGTTCAGCTGAGCCCGGTAGTTCCGGAGAGGAGGTCTGCACCCTCCCCCCCCCCACCCCCAGGTCCACGAGGGAGCACCGCGGTCACCGTCGGCTGACCACGAAGACGGGGAATCCGTTGTCCGTCGCGCCATCGCTCTCCTCGTGCATCGTACGACCCGGGAACCAAGTCAAACCAAGTCGAGCGGTTCTGTGCGCGGGAGCCTGTAGCCACGAGCGTTCATCCGATGCGAGCCGAATTAACGGAGAGGGCAAGAAAGAGGAGAGGGAGAGAGAGAGAGAGAGAGGAGCAGAGTGAGAAATTGCAAAAACGAGGGAGATCGATCCGCGTCTCGACTGACGAGCGAGAACGAAGGCGCGCGCGAATTCTGTCATTTTAATTTTCAGCGGTGATATTCGAGGCGACGAGGGTAATTAATCAAACGGAATGACGGATGCGCGCTCGTTGTTCAAACTTCGTCATTGTCGGCGGCGGCCTCTTCGCCGCCGCCGCCGCCGGCGCGCGCGCGCGCGCACGCGTGCAGGAAGCCGCGAGAAGCAGCCTAGCGTAATAAGAGGAAGGACGCGGTACGAACAACGCGATCGGATATTGCTATTCTTGTCCGCGACGAGACCGCTCGGTCGTTCGCTCCGGAGCGCTTCAGCGCCCGCAGCCAGACGCTTATTAATCAATTGATCCCCATCAACGGATTAAAAAAGAAAGGGGAGACGGAGAGGGAGGAGGAGCGTGAACCGCGCGCCCTTCTCCTCTTCGCCGAGAGAGCGACGATCACGGTGGACGTTGACGGCCGAATGCGCGTACGGCGGGGCGCGGGGCTGAGGGGACGAGGGTGAAAGCTCGGAAAGGGACGAGTTTTCGGTATCGCAGTGCCCTGCTGTACCCACTAGCCTCTTCGAGTTACCCAGCAACCAAAGAAGACTGAAAAACCTCCGACGGCGGCATCAGTTGTTAACGCGATTTGCTAATACTTTACTAATAACTCCAACCTTATTAATATTTTATTACTTATTTACTACTGTCGTTTCTATTATTAATAGTATTACTATCGCTATCCGCTTGATGATTGTATCGTCCCATAATTGATATCGCTGCGCGGCCGCGTCACTTTTATTATCATGGTCCAGCTAGTGGGTCCACTCCGTCATTTGTTTCGTTTTGCGTCGATCCCTTCTGCGCATCCGACATTGCTCTGGGCAGACCAATGAGAGAAAAGTTGTATATGTGTGGCTTTGATGAGTACGTATACGCGCACGCACACGTCGCTGGATCCTGCCCGGGTGTATGGCGGAATACCACGTGATCGGGACCGCGAAGATCAAAGGGGCCGGCAGAGAGTGGACCTACTAGCTATACTATGCTTTTATTGCTCCTTATCTCGCGATTGTTGTGTGGTGTAAGCCTGAATTGTCGCTCTAATGTAAAGGTATATTTATGTTGTACATTGCATACCTGTATGAAACCTGTATGAAACCTTACGGCGAGGAATGCGGCGAGTACCGCGCGTCCTCACTCCGCGACGAGCTAAGCGGTAATGTTTGTTAACGCGATAACGTTTGTTACTATAAGTGCGTAATATTTAAGCTTATGTAAGCGTAATATTTATTATTAGAAGTAATCCTTTTGAAATCGGACCGTACCGGATCCCACACGGGCGACTGGATCGACTCGCGCGCACGTTTCTCTCGCTGATTGAGCCCGCGCGACGTTCGCAGAATCGTGTGACACGCGCGATATCAGTAGACCAGTGTAAATTCAGGAAATTCTCCCAACCACGGCCTCCCCGGCCAATTCGGAATTTCTCACCCGCTACAATCGGACCAGAAGTCCTGTCTTTTGTAATAGCTTTCCCGGGTTTTGCTGAGCGTTGAGTTTAACGAGGCCGGTACGAGAGATTTGCCATATACTTATTTAATCGTACTCCTTTGTGTAACGCTATTTCGTATAAGTTTTGGGAAGCACGCGCGAAAGCGAAACTGAATAGTAAGATACTCCCGGCGCGACAGTAGGGCGACTTCGACTCCAAACTCCGAGCTACTTGTTACAGTTGGTCGACCCGGCCCAGAACTGGCCGCCGCAAAGTGTCCGTAAAAATACTGTGCAACTCGTTACCCCCCGATCTCTAATCTTTTCCACTATGTAAGAAATTAATGATCCTGTTCGCAGAGCAGTAGCGTCACTTGAGTAGTTGTTTACTGACAAAGTTAATCGGACTTTGGTTGAAGCCACCCTTGCTGCAACTTGTGAACGTGGTGAGCCGAACATCGTCACCGGAGCGATGCAAATCTAAATCTAGCGGCCGCCAGCCAAGAGAAGACCCGCACCGAGGTGCCGATACTGCGATTCGGGAGGACTCGAGCATCCAAGCAAGCTTACAAGGGGACGTTGTCGTTGCGTTCGACTTAGGCTGATGCCAGAGAACGATCCGTAAATGCTTAAGACTGTCTTAGTCGTAGACGTAAAGCAAGGCAGAGAAAAGTGTAATTCGTGAAAGGCGATCGATTTAGGTTTTCCTCTGCCTTGCTTTACCTCTACGACTAATGCCCATTTCTACCAATGCAGATCAAATTTAATCCCGGTTTAACTAAGGTTTTATCTTTTTGCATTGGTGGAATTAGGCAACAGACAGTTTTAAGCGTTCACAAATCGTTTTCTGCCATCAGTCTAAGGCCGAATCAGACCAGCAATTGTCGACGCGGAATGGATTGGTATTGGCGATTGTCTTCTAGCCAATAAGAGCCAGACAGCCAGCAATTTAATCGACTCTCATTGGCTAGAGGACAATCGTCAATCCCAATTCAATCGCAGTCGGCAATTGCTAGTCAGATTCGGCCTTTAGGCTCAAGATTTACGGCCGCGACGGCGTCTGCGATGAGATTCAAGACATTGATCAATCATAGAATGCGAGAAGAATAACCGATCGCGATTGGCCATTTTCTTAAATCTCACGTCTTTGGTGCCCATCTACAATTTAAAGCCCAAGCCTTAAGAAATTGACTAATCACAGTCGCGTATTCTACTCACATTTGACCGTGATTGGTCAATTTCTTAAGGCTAAGGGTTTAAATCAATTATTGTAGACCGGGACTTGCAAATCTCATTTTAGACGCCGCGTTACGCAGGCACCGCTCTTGCTATTTCGATGTCATGTTGAAATGTTATTCGACGTCGCGCATTTCGCGCGGAGGCGTTGATTCACCGTTTACCGTAGGTGCCTTATAATCGACTCTGTACGAATACATACGTATAGTCAGCTGACGTCGACGTCGGCCCGTGGCCGCCGCCGCCACCGCCGCGTACACGAACGTTTTGTAAATAAGCGCGTACGGTCGAGCGGCTGGAGTTGATCTTATTCCGCCCGGCGCGCGTCAGCATTGTACACCGGTAATTATTATTAATTATTTATAACGTTACGACGTAATTTTCAACGCTGTCCTAAATTCCCTTCCCCCTCTCCGCCCGCACTACGTTTATCGTGGACTTGCTGCTGTCACGATTATTTAAAAGTCATCCTCCATGCGCGAGCTGTCGGTCTCGATGTTAAACGAGTTAACATTAATTATTGGGTAAGCGGCGTGCTGTTACACCGACGTGCTTCATTTGTACACGCTGTTTTCATTTAAACGCGGTCTCCATAACGCTTATGTCTATGCTGGGTGACAGAAATATGCAAGAAGCTCGGTCTTTATTTTTTATCAAACTTAGCTAATGAGACTCAGCTGAGAGAGGGAGGGAGGGGTAGAAGCAGCGTATACGTGACGTGTTACGTCGCGTAGGAGGGTTGCCGTTGCTCGGCATGTGTGCATGTGTATATGTGTGTGTGTGTGTGTGTGTGTGCGCGTGTGTGTGTTGTGTGAAAAGGCTCGAGGGAAAGGAAAAGGCGAGGAGAGCAGACGTTCTCGGATCGCACCGGGATTCGTTTTGCGCGAAACTGTGCCAATTGTTGCGCTGAAATACGGAGCGCGCGGTTAATTCAAGATGTGACGTCACGGTTCAGCGATGCGATGCGCGTAACGTGAAATTATCGCCGCGGCGGGACGAATTTGTATATTTTACTCGCGCGCACGAGCGCAACATCCGCGCGCTCCTCCAAGATGTAAACGACTCACTTTTTCCCCGCGCACCCATGCGACCGCGCGGGCGGCGACCGGAACTACTAATTTTTTCTTCTTCTCTTTTTATACAACGCGATAATTTTAATTAAATAAATCTTTTGTATTTCTGCGACTAGGTAGGCAGCTGAGAGACGCATGACGCACACTTCGATAGTTTTGTAGAGAATGGAGATCGATGCTATTCTATACTGTGCCAAAACGATTTATTAATTAAATACCGATCATTATTATTATTACTGCTATTGCTGTTACTATTAAATAAGTAGAACAGCCAATCCTCAAAACTATACCCACTGGGAAATGATTCGTCGATTCGACGTCATTTCTCGCTGGGTATGGCACTTGCCCTTGTTCACATTTGACATAGACCAGTCATCAATGATAAGCTCACGTTGATGATCTTACATCTTCGCTTTTAGCGCATGTCGCAATCCATTGCGTAGGGCGGAAAGTACACGATCGACGATACGAGCCCGCGCATTGATCCCCATCAGACCGACACGTAAAATTTTACCAACTGTAGGCCCTAGACCGCCGCCGATCTCAATTTGGTACCTGAAAAAAAAGAAGGAAACTGCCGACGAAATGTTGCATTCCGAAAAGACGATAGAGAAATAATCTCACTTTTTCATAGCTCGCGCGACCAAGGTATAGCCGTCGACGCCAGGTGGTAGTTTTATCGAGATAACGGTCGACAATTGGTACCGCGGATCCTCGACGTAGCACTGCAGCCCGAGATCTCGAAGGCCCTGCCTAAATCTGACCGCCGCTGCCGCGTGCCTCCGCCAGGAAGCGAGGAGTCCTTCCTCCGCAAGTTGCACCAGAGCCGTCCTCAGGCCGTACACCAATGTTGCGCTTATTGTGTGATGGTACACGCGCCGGGGCGCACCGAGACAATTCCAGTAATCGCCGAGGATCCTCAAGTCCCAGTAGAAAGCGGGTTTTGTTGCTCTCCGAAATATCTTCCGTCTGTAATTGGCGCGCGGAATCGTGAGGGGATAGAGACCCTGTAATCAGAGACTGGCCATAAAGTCCATATCGGACTATTGAGATTGAGTTAGATTTAAATTCGACCAATTAGAGTAAAAGTTGCTAAGCTTGAGATTAATAAACTTTACTGTAATTGGTCAAATTCCAATCTAATCCCAATCTCAATCCATAGTCTGATACGGGCTTAAACGCCCATCTACAATAGAGATTTTAACCCTAAGCCTTCAGAAATCGACTAATTACAGTCGCGTAGTCTACTCATACCTGACCGCGATTAATCAGTTTCTTAAGGCTTAAGACTTAAATCATCTATTGTAGACTAGGACTAAGAGTTCGTCAAATTCCTGCGAGTGAGAGAGAAACACAGGCTATTCTCGCTCTTCCACGATCGTGGAAAAGTGAAGATAGCTTATGTTTCTCACTCGCGGGGATTTGACCAACTCCTATGGCCAGTTTCTGATTACAGGGTCTCTATGAGGGGACACCGGAGTTACTTCCGGACAGATTGGAGAGAAATGTCAAGAATTCACCCCCCCCCCCCCCTCCGACGAATGTACATATGATTCACCGATCGCGGGAATAGGTGACCACCGAATAGGTGACCGCCGAAAGGATGACTCAGGAATTCGATTGATATTCGTACGCGTTCTCGATCCCACGGGGAATTTCTCGGCGGGTCGGCCGTCGTTACCGCGGAGGAACCCGTTCTCCGACGCTTCGGACTGATCAACGGCATACGTACTCCGCGCGCGGACTGAAGGAGACGGGCGTTATTCCTGGAGGCGCGCCGAGGACCTTCTGGCTGCCGGTGTAGGCCGCGTCCACTTGCCAGGCGTCCATGAAGAACGGCTCTCCACCTAAGGACGCCACCGCGTCGACGATCAACAGGGCCTCGTGTCTGTCGTTTGCGAAAGTAATTTCAGTTGGTTGCCGTCTCGTCGTCGCGAGTGCGGTCTACTCACCTGTGAACCAACTCGCCGACGCCCTCCAGAGGCTGCTTCATGCCCGTCGACGACTCCGCGTGCGTCACGAACACTACCGCCGGCCGGTGTTTCTCGAGGGCTTCGTCCAGGGCGCCGAGATCGAACGGTACGCCACACGCTGTCTCCAGAAATTTTATCTGCGCCGTTTTCCCGAAAAAAAAGAGGAATTGTAAAACATTTCGTCGTTTGCTCTCTCGCTGTCTTTCTCTTCTGTCTCGATATGGACGAGAACCATTTGATAAGTGCTCGGAATGAAATGGAAAAACAGCTCTTTGTAATTATTTTTACTTTTCAACGTGATCTCCCTTTATATTAATATGCACTTGAGTCATATATGTTCCAATTATCTCATTACGAAACTCCGGTGAAAACAATCTCTCCCTAGCAAGGAATTTCTTCAATTGGGAATGAACGTGCTCGAATTGCAAAGTCTAATCTACAATGTACTTTTTGCGATCACAAACACTTTAGTTTGCACAAGCAACTCTATTTAAAATATTAGATCGAACACAATCAGATTACATTAGCTTGCATGCAATTTCCATTCTTACAAGTTCACATTGAAATTGCATGCAATCTAATGTAACATGATAGTATTCTATCTACTATTTTAAACAGGGAAGTCAATACTTAACAATTTTATCGACAAAGTGCAACAATCGTACAACATGTAATGCGCAGTAACTTGCACACATTTTTTTATGTATTTATTGGCTACAACATAGAATGTTTCTAGCCGCAAAGAGCACATTGTAGATCGGATTTAAATCAGGCGAAAAAGAAGAAGCGACAAATCGTATCTTGATTCGTGGATATTTAATCACAGCGATACTTCGCTTCTATATTAATTTCTAGAAAGTCACGCAAATATATGTTCATCTATGAAAAATAAATCTATTGGAAGCTAATTGGAACTTTATGCGCGTTTATGGAAGGATGGGATTTTCCACTTGACGTCCGCGCGCGATGGCCATCTGCAATTCACTCCGAGGGCTTTTCAAGTGACTCATGTATACCTATTTCGTACATTTGCGCCAATGCGACCGGCCATATCGGCCGCGCGTTCCCCCCAAATGCCGCATTTAGCGATCAGCACGGTCTCGCCCGGCTCGAGTAAATTATCCAAGCAAGCTTCCATGCCGCCATGACCGGACGTACTTAGGGCCAGAGTGAGCCTGTTCCCGGTTTGAAAGGCGTACCGCAACCCCGCCTTGACGTCGTCCATTAACTGCGGAAGGAAAATCTCCGGGGGTTATCGGTTTATCGCTCGGTTTCGCGGGAATAAGGATCGCGCGTGGCTTATATCCAACCTCGACGCCCGTGTATTTGTTAACGATGAAACGCGGTAGTTTCAAGGTCGCGGGACTACGCCGTAGCTCCGGAAATACCTGGCATAACTCCGGATGAAGGTGACCGAGCACTTGCTGCCCGAGCGAACGCAGAACGCGATCCGAGCAGTTGCTGGGACCGGGACCAGTTAAAAACTTCTCGGGTAGCACAGGCACCGGTCGCAGTATCTCTTCCGGTGGCTGCGGATAAACGGCGCATCGTCGCCAGGTACGTAAATCTTCCATGCCTCCGGTTTCCTCGCGAAAATCCCACGGTACCGTTGAAGTCGCGATGGTACCACGTAGAGACCCTGTAATCAGAGACTGGCCATAAGTGAGTTCGTTAAATTCCCGCGAGTGAGAGAAACGTATGTTTCTCTCTCACCGGCGGGAATTTGACGAACTCTTATGGCCGCGATCTGTCTCTCTCTTCCACGACTCTTCTACGATCGAGTGAGATAGCTTATGTTTCTCTCTCACTCGCGGGAATTTGACGAACTCTTATGGCCAGTCTCCGATTACAGGGTGTCCACGCAGCACAAAATCTCCCGCAAAACCCAGCGAGAAATGACACGTCGACCGATGTCGAAACGATCGACGTCGATTCGACGAATCATCTCTGACTGGGCAAGAGACTCCTAGTAGCACAGCGCATGGATCACACCTTGGCTAAACATTGGCCCAATACAACCGAACATTGGGCCAGCGTTTAACCAAAGTTTGGTTCATGCACTGTGCTACTAGGAACGTCTCGGGGATATGCTTAGGATGTCCTGTGTTCCGAGGACGTTCTGAAGATATCCCGAAGACGTCACTTGGAAATCCGTGCTGTGTGGGCGCAGAGAATACGAGAAACCTCGCGCGAGCGCGAGAAGCAAAGATAAACGGATGGATATGACGAAAAACACTGTGTCACGCGAAGATAAGCGCGTGCTCGCCGTCGTAGTTCGATCTCTCGTCCCGTACGCGCGCTTATCGTCTAGAACCGCGTGTAAAAAAAAAGTGTGGATTCGCGTTTCTCTTGTTGCCTGGTACAGCGCGTCGCCGAGGACGAAATCGTTGATCGAGCGAATACCACGTTTCGAGATAACGCAGACGCGACTATTAAATCCCGCGTGTTTGGATGATACTGAAGAATCAGGCCACTTGTTTGCATCCGATTCCTCTATCAGTGACCGGCTCACTCGCGTATCACCGGGCACGAAAACCCGAGATTTTCGCATCGAGAAATCGCGCATTAAGCCAACGGCACACGATACTATTTTTCCTACTGGATTCCTTACGAGAGCCAACCGGGATTCAGCTTTGAGTCACCTGATCGAAAACTCTGCGTCCTGATTGGTTCTCGTAAGCAATCCAGTAGGGAAAAATAGTATCGTGTGCCGTTGGCTTAAGTTTCAGAGAGTCAATTCTGTATCTTAAGCCAACGGCACACGATACAATTTTTCCTAATGGTTTGCTTACGAGAACCAATAAGGATGCAGAGTTTTAAAACAACGGCACATGATACAATTTTTCCAATTGGTTTGCTTACAAGAGCCAATCAGGATATAGCCTTAAGTCACCTGATCTAAAACTCTGCCTTCTCATTGGTTCTCGTAAACAATCCAGTAGGAAAAATAGTATCGTGTGCTCGTTGGCTTAAATCCTGATTGGTTCTCGTAAGTCCCAGTCTACAATAGAGATTTAAGCCCTAAGCCTTAAGAAATTGACTAATCACAGTCGCGCATTCTTCTCATACTTGACCGTGATTGGCCAATTTCTTAAAGCTTAGGGCTTAAATCATCTATTGTAGACTGGGACTTAAGAAATTGGCCAATCACGGTCAAGTATGAGTAGAATACGCGACTGTGATTAGTCAATTTCTTAAGGCTTAGGGCTTAAATCTCTATTGTAGACTGGGACTAAGCGATCCAGTAGGGAAAAATAGTATCGTGTGCCGTTGGCTTTACCTTCCGTATCCGCGCGCTTAAAGCCCGTATCAGACTACGGATTGGGATTGGGATTAGATTGAAATTTAACCAATCACAGTAAAGTTTACTAATCTTAAGTTCAGTAACTTTTACTCTGATTGGTCAAATTTCAATCTAATCCCAATCTCAATCCGTAGTCTGATACGGGCTTAAGACTTATCTGACTTTTCTTCGCTCGCATTTTTTCCCGCGAAGCAAGTTCAACGATAACCCAAGTGGGCAGTAACGATGAAGGTAATTAAGAGAAAGTGAAATTAGCTAAAGTAAGTCGGAAAAAATAAATTTGAAAAATTAGAAACATAATAATCTTAATATTAATTTTGTTATAATTACATAAATGTTGTTATATATACTTGAACGAATGTGTGAAAACGTACGATAACTTTCCCGAGTTTTTCGAAATAATTTAAATATTTCGCCGACTCTGGACTCATGCTGTAAACATAAACATTTTTGCGGCGAACAAGCTATGACACTACGTCGATGATAAACATCTCGATACACGCTAGATACGTTAATGACGATAGTATATTTATTTTCGTCCGCAAAGTGAGGTAGGTCAGGAACGGGCCTTCGCAGCGGGAATCTTTTATTTTTATCAAATTATTATACAGATACGCGTGTCGAATTTTTCAATATCGAGGTGTCCCAGCTCGGCAGAGCGACAGGCGAATGTCTCGCGCGCGTCAGGGATTAAACAAACAAAAACGAACGTCGGATGCGTCGGGTAGACCCACAAAATACAATATATCTAGACCGAGCGTTTGCCTTTATTTGAGCAGTGGGGGCAGAGGTTCACGTAGAAAAGGACAAACTCTGTTTTGTGCTATTTCGTTCTCTCCTGTTTACATGCGAACGAGAGAGCACGAAATAGCACAAAACAGAGTTTGTCTTTTTCTTTGCTCAATGCTCGGTCTAGATATATTATGTCTATGGCTAGACCGTTCGCGCGGCAAGTGGATACCCGTGGCGTCATCTACGGGGCGACGCGGGCGCGCGCGCGCACTCGACAAGTCGGCACGCGGCGCTCGCGCGCGGCGAATCCTCCGCGTTTTCCCGATTCAGTCCCGTTCAGTCTCGGACGTCTCGGATCTCGATCGAGTCCCAGGTGAGATCCACCCTCAGATTCGCGAGGTTCGCGAGTTGCGTTTCGCGGGAGGCGGGGGGGGGGTAAGGAGGAGCGCATGTTCCACGCGATGCGACCCGCGTGCTTATCGACCGAGCGTCTCGTTCGATCGTCGCGTCGCCGCACCAGTGGCACGTCACCCGCGGCGTTTTTACCAACCGAGCGATTGATCGAGCGGCCGGAGGGGGTGGGGGGCTCGGATTTATCGGCGTGCTTCCTGTTATTCGGAATTCTCGATAGATCGACGACGCGCACGTGCACACGTCTCGCGGAACGAGGGTGACGCGCGCCTCACGTATCGCGTCGATCGGCTCGATCGCGGGGAGTTGAAGGCGACGCTTCGCCGTCGCCCTTCTCTCTCTCCACGATCTTTCGTCCCTTCTCTTCCCTCTCCCTCTCCGCCTTCTCCACCGCCGCCGCCACCGCCGCCGCCTTCTCGTCCTCATCCTCCTCCTCCTCTTCCTCCTCCTCCTACTCCACGACTTTTCTCGGTCGACCGGTCGACCGGTCGACTGGCTTCTCAAGGGGGCGTGCTTGCTCGCGTACAACAATGAGCGAACGCGAAACTATCTAAGCACGCGGCGCAAACGAATCCGTTGTTCGCGTGTGGTTCGTGTGTGGCCCGGCCGGCCGCTCCGCGGCACTCGATCGCGAACGATCGCGGCACGTGAACGCCGGGAGTTCGCGGGGATCGTCGGGTCCCTCTCTGCGTGTATCTGCCGTCGACGAATCCGAAGGGATAAAAGGGCTCCGCGCCGGAGGAGGCGCTCGGACGCGCGAGATCGTGTCCCGTTGCGGCTCACGAAGCTGGGGCACCTCTCGTCTCGCCGCTACGAGGTATCCCGCTTGCAATACCACCGGATCCCGAGTACGCACGATTCCCGGCGGGATCTCCGCCGGCACGTCCGACGATCGATCGACGGGCCCCGAAATCTCGCCGTGGTCCCGAGGTAGTTGACTTCTGTCTCTCTCTGGCGCTTCCGAGCGCGATAAACGTGCACGCGATACACCGTTTCTTTTATCCTCCGTCTCCTTCGCTCTCTCTCGAATCTCTCTCTCTCTCTCTGTCTCCTTGGTGTGACGGCTCGTTGTCCAGCGAACGTATTAACGCGCTGTACTCCGATCTCCGAAAGAGGATAAGCCAAGGATCCGCGTCCGTTTCTATCGACACGGATTAACCTTAATCTCGGTTTCACGTATCTTTTATCTCTCTCTCTCTCTCTCTCTGTCTCTCTCCAGTTCTTAGAACTAGAAAAAGGCGAGAGTTGGCTCGAGATGGAAGTTAATCTGCATTGGTGGAAATGGATATTGGACAGGCAACCTTCGCCAGTCAACGACCATACCGGTTTTTTTTTTTGGTCCCGAGGGCGACCGACGCTAAAGAATTGCTGTAAAGAAATTTGTTTCATTGTCGCTGGGCAGATCGAATTCCCTTTAAACGCGTCGGTGACGAAATAATCGTCGTAATGACCCGAGAGCGTCGAATTAACTGCGTTGTTCCCCCGATTTCCTAACGACTCTTCACCGCGGTCGCTCGGGGACAGTGAAAGAAAATTGCGCGACCCGCGCGCTCTCGCACGTTGGCCTCTGCACGTGCTAACGAATCCGCCCAGAATTTCTCCGTTGCGAGCGATCCAGCTATCGACGTTACGCGACCAGTGCCTGCGACGAGAGTTTTAATGGCTTCAACTTGTATTATTATTATTCATAAACAATTGTGCGCGCCAGCGCGGACGTGCGCGCGTGCGCCGTGCGCCGCGGCTGTGTGTGTGTGCGTGACGTGGAATTTCGAGTTTCTCGTCAACACGTTCGCGCTCGACGAGACTCCGACGCCTAAATTCTACATTTGAGAGAGGGGAAAAAAAGCGGATTTATTGAGCGAGTTTACTTTCGCCAAACGATCGCGGGCCGAGCGACATTTGTCGGTCCTGCGTGTGGGCACAAGTGCCGTGGCTCTTTGCACTCGCAATATTTTTATCGCGATATTATGAAACGTGTCGAGAGTTACGCGGGGATAGTAAATATTTTCACACCTCTGTGTGACTACTCGAAGGCACGCGCAAGAGAGAGAGAGAGAGAGAGAGAGAGAGAGAGAGAGAGACGTGGAGAGAAAGAGTCGCCGTCCTCTCGCGGAGGTACTCCGCGTGAATTTGTTGTCTACGAGCTTGTATCCGCGCGAGATTTTAAATTAACGACGGCCGCGAGGCCCAGCCAGGTGGTCAATTTTGCATCGCGCGCTGTAGTGAAAACGCTTAGAGCGTAGCTTTGTCTCTTTGCGAAGCCCGATCTACAACTGTGCCCTCTGCGTCTAGAAACATTCTATTTTGTGGCCAATAAGTACGTTTAGAAAATTCGTGCGAGTTGATGAATTGTACATTGCACAATCGTACGTTGTCGACAAATTTTTCAAGCGGTCTGATTTGTTTATAGTAAAATGGAATGTTTCTAGACACAGGAGGCAACGATCGATCGACGTCGTGGATTAGGCTCGAGGGCCAGTTGCGCAAACGTCGGTCACCTGCTACCCGAAGGTCAATTGATTATCTGTCTTTTCGTAAATGATAAGGCCCGGTTTCACCAACGTCGCTTAACTAGAAGCTTAGTTTAATTCGTCCTTTGTCTCTTTCCAACTGTTCCTTTAGAAAGAGACAGACGTGAATTAAACTAAGATTGCAGTTAAGCGACGCTTGGTGAAACCAGACCTAAGACTTGAAGCTTAGACCAAACATTGCTTAGCTGTAATCTTACTTTCATTCACGCTTGTCTCTTTCTAAAGAAACAGTTGAAAAGAGATAAAGAACGAATTAAACTAAGCTTCAAGTTTAATTCGTCCTTTGTCTCTTTCCAACTGTTCCTTTAGAAAGAGGCAAACGTGAGTTAAACTAAGATTACAGTTAAGCGACGTTTGGTAAAACC